CTCTGACCCTCCCCTCCTCACGCTGTCTCTCTCTCTCTCTCCTAGAAATAAATAAAACATTAAAAAAATATATATTAAAAAAAAAAAGAATGAGATGGTGATGGAAATCCTTCTGGAGGAAGTGATAGCTAAGTTGAATATTGACAGATGCCTGAAGGTTTTTCTGGATGTTGAGGAAGGGGTAGAAGAGAAATATTCCACTGCAAGTACAAAGACACAGAGGTATGAAACAGCATGGTGTGTCCAGGGAAATAGAAGCAGATGGGACTGGCTGGAAGGTGAAGTTCAAGGTGAAGAGAGGCTGGGAGCTGAGTGGAGCAGATATAAAGTGGAGCTTACATGTCCAGCTTTAGGCTTAGCTTTATTCCAAAGAAGAACAGTGAAAGCCTTTAAATAAGGGGAAATTATTATCAAGTTTACATTTGTTCAGATATAATTCTGGTGACCATGTAAAGATAGATTGGAGAGAGGAGAAGGCAAGAGGCCAGAAACCAATAAAAAATTATTTTAACCATTGTCAAGAGCCTGCATTAAGATGATGACAGAGTGAATAGAAAAGAAAGGATGTACTTAAGAGATACAAATAGGAAGGCTCAATGGCCATTTGGTTATAATGAATGAGAGAGAAAGCAGAGTCAGGGAAGCTGGAGATACAGTTCCATTAATTGAGAGTAGGGGATACTGGAAAGTAGAGGAGGTCAAGGAAGTGAGAAACAGTGATAAGATCAGTTTTGACATGTTGAGATGAAGGGCATGGGAGATAAAGATGGAAATATTCAGGGGGAAGTTGGATTTAGAAGTCTGGGAATATACAAAAAGGTCTGACTATTTTTAAAAAAAATAGATTTGTGGGTCAACAACATACAGGGGCATGCTTAAAACACCAAGAATCCATTGGATTGTTGAGGGAAGAAGTGTCAAGTGAAAAGGTGTCCAGGACAGAATCCTCAGGAATATCAGCTTCTAAAAGGAGGACACAGGAAAGCAAACCAACAACTGAGATGGAGAATATGTGGTAAGAGAGGTAAGACAAAATTCAGGAGAAGGAGGACCCTCCAAAGTCAAAGAAGGAAAAAAGAGAGAGAGAGTTGTTAAAAGTAACAAAAGCGATGGTAAGATCAAGTAAGATAAGGATTTAAATATATTTGTGATTTGGGCAATTTGAAGGTCATTTTGACCCAATAAAAGGGCAATTTTGATACACAGATAGGGTGTAGGATGGGTAGAAATCAGATTATAATGGTTTGAGCATGGATAGAAGTTGAAGGAGCATACACACATATAGAAACTCTTCTTTCTTTTCTTTTCTTTTTTAAATTAGTTTATCTATTTTGAGAGAGAGAGAGAGGAGAGAACAGAGGAGGGGCAAAGAGGAAAGAAAGTATCCCAAGCCAACTCCGCATTGTCAGCACAGAGCCAACATGGGGCTTGATCTCACGAACTGTGAGATCATGACCTAAGCCAAAATCAAGAGTTGGATACTTAACTGACTGAGCCAGCTAGGCACCAGAGAGACTACTCCTTCAATGAACTTAACTGTGAATATCCATATCTCTTTCTTCCACATGAGGCAAGGCTATGCCTGGACTAACCTGTGGACTGGAATAGGTGGGGGAGGATGTTGAAAGCATCTGAGTGTTCAGAGCTGAGAATGAAGTGTGAAGGTGACTCCAATAAGCCAGATATGGAAATTTTAAAGTGTCTTTAAAGATGAAGGGCCAGATCTTGTGTCTGAAGCTGCAATAGGGGACCAAGATTAGAACAGCCAGGTAGGGAGTCTGAAGGCAGCTACTCAAGAAGATTGTATGTGCTGCTGGTTATGAAGTTCAAGGGATTGATCAAGGGCCTAAGCTCTGTGAGGTACAAAGGGGGAATTAATAAACTGAGAGAAAGGGGAAAGGCAAAGTCCTGGCCATTGTGATGGGGTCTTGGGACAGATGTAGTAGAAGTAGGGCAGTTTGAAAATAGAGACTAGCAGATGATGGCTTTATATATATAAAGATTTCATACTGAAAATAGTTCCAGGCAATAAAGTCTGACACCTGGCCTTGGGAATGGGATGATGATGGAATAAAAGATGCAGGTGTTAGAAACTGAGGTAGTGAAGGTTCTGAGAAGTGGCAGTATTGGCAGAATCCTCCTTGTGGGCACTGAACTTCCCCCAAGATGATGGCAGAAGTTGGATTCAAGGGAAAGAACATGCCTAACTCCTCCATAAAGATGGAGGAGAAACCAGGAGATGACCATCATCAATAACAAGTAAGGGGACAGAAAAGCTAAATGGAAAACAATGTCAAAGCAGGAAAGAGTTTTACACAAGAGTATACGTGTAATGGGCATTGGGAAGGATATCTTCAATTCCTCCAGGACCTGCCATACATTTGGGAAAACAGCAAAAGGAAGTGGTATCCTTGAGGTGGAGACAGGAAGTGGAAGGTTCCATTTCATTGAAAGTATGTAAGGAGAGAAGGCTGTCTTAGCAATATACATATAAAAACAATATGCTCCCAGAAACTGAGGATCATCTTTTATTTTCTGCTAAGACTATTGAATTAAGGGTTTCCAGGGAATCACAAAAAACAGTTGTACTGACTGGGAAGTATTTAATATGATCAAGTCTTAAATAAGAAGCCATGAACATAAACATTTAAAACCAAATATATAATAAATAATTATTAAGTTATAAAGTACATAGCTCATATTAAAACTAAATTCTCAGATGCAAGTTTAAGTACAACAGAGCAATAATATAGAATAATAATGCTACAAGTTTATACAAGTGTCCAAAGAAGACACCTTCAGCTACAATAGTAAAAATCATGATTAATTTTCCCTGAACTTCCATGACCTACTGCAGCATTATTTTGTCTTGTTTTTTCTTTCTTCCTTCCTTTTCTTGGGGGGAGGAGGGAATATTTTCTTTGTTCCTACAGTGAGTGTTGCTACAAATGCTATTGAATAAGGCTGTGCACCTGAACATCAGATTTAGCAAATGTTTTACTCTGAAGTATGGTTAGATGTTCCTGTAAGAGTATCCAAAACATCCAGAACTGTAGACATTCATAGACACATAAAACTCTTAAAAAGTTTGAATAGACTTAGAGATTCAGTCCAACATCCTCATTGTACAGATAAGGAAACATAAACCCCCCAAATTTAAGCAAGTGACCATGATTTCACAGGCCTCCTGTGTCACCATCCGTAGGTGAACAGTAATGTTCATAGGTAAGCTTTCTATCTCTTTTGAAGGCTGCTTAAGTCTTGAACACAGAGCAGTGAAGGTGGAGCTGTTCACGTCTTACTTCTTCATCTTGTTTATTTCAATGCAGTGCTTTTCTTGGAGTGTTGCTAGGATCTTTACCTGAGTCTTTAAACTCAGTTTAGTGAAGGCTCTTAACCAACACCCCGTTGAATTATTTTTACTTTTAAGGTAGAATCTCTGGTCAAAGGATTAGAACAGAGATTTTAACAGTAAACACACCAAAATAAATATATTATTTTAAATATAAAATCACAGTGTTAAAGAAGTCACCAACTATAAAGCCAGAAACAAGAAATGCAGACTTCACTCTTCCCTAGTCAACTTTGTGGCTGCTTTCTACTTTTATCCAAACAGTGTGGCTGGCACCATTTGACACATAGGTAGGTTCTACATGCATATTATCATCAGTATTGTTTACATGATCCCTTTGTGATAACATTTTTAAATTTTAAGATAGAATACCTTGTTTTTGGTGATACATTTCATTGAGATTTGATGAAATAATTGATGGCTAATATATCTTTTAGGACTATAAATTTATCTGTACTTGTTTTTTAAAATACTCTCAAGTAGATAATTTTTCTTCTCAGAACATACAGTATTTCCCATCCCACATCCTCTTGCACGTTCACAGCCATTTTAACAATAAGAGATTCTCAAATAGCTTATAACGTTCTAACAAAAATTTTATTTTTCTAGAGTTTTTAATTTCATATTTAAATAAACTCTGCTGGAGTTGATAAGAAATGGCAGTTAGAGCAGGTTGCTTACTTTTACTATCCATGGTTGAAAGATTGGGATGTTTATGCAAGTCTGTTTTCTATTAGGACAGAAGTCTTGGCCCCTTGATTTGTCTCCTGATTTTGATTTGATATAGGTGATTGGATTTGCCTTATGCAAAGCATGCAAGCACAAAGTGTCTGTCACTTTCAAGAGAAGAAAGGAAAGAAAGGAAGAAAGGAAGAAAGGTGACAGACATTTGGAGTTACTATCTCGCTCCCATGTAATCTTATAACAATTTGAGAAGAGAGCTACAAGACTTTTTTTTAAATGCATTCTGTTCCAGAAGACTACCTGAATATGTCCCTCTATACATTTTAATTGCCATTTCCATAAGCCTAAAATGTTAGCTTATAAGGGGACTTGAACTGGGGCAGTTATGTTAAAATTTAAAGAAAAAAGGACTAAAAGAGTGTATTCCATAAATACATTCATATCTATAGCATTTAAATATTTTTGATACATCCCAATAAAGAAATAAGATCTTTTTTGTAGCCATCTAGTAAAGCTATCCCCTGGCACATAAATAAACTATATATTTATACATTAGATATTCTGAGATACAAAATAAACTCTTCAGATATACATCTTTAAACACTTAGTTTTCATTTCCTTAAAAGAATAAAGACCAACTTTTCATCTTGACCCATGCTTCTATATTTCTTAGCTTGAGTGAAGGTAAAAAACTTTTAAATTAGTAATCATCAGAGTCCTCATTCCTGTGGTAATCAAGGTCAAAGTTAATATAAGACCACTAAATTCCCAAACTGTGTTTTTGGTTAAAAATTTTAAGCTTAAAACCTTTTAAGCTTCTCCCCCAATCAAGGAATGTCATATTTGGGCAATAATATAAAGTAAAAATTTTAGAAATCATAGAAGTCCATAACATAGGAAATCAGACTCTTAACGGAGTAGATGGCTTTTTCAAGTTGACCAGACACAGAGCATGTGGATCAAACTGAAGAATTGCATACTGGGGGGAAATAATCCTGACTTGAAACACTGATCTGAGTCTTATTCCCCATCACTAATATGTTGTACTCCTCCATTTAGAGTACCAAGAAGTGAGTTTCACTACTGTGTTAGAGTATGTAATATAGTGTCCAGCTTCAAGTTAGATCCTCAGGAACCTTCATATCTCATGTGTTCTAGGAGAGATGCTGATGAATCATCTGTGGAAATAGTATACCATGAGTAACATAAACATAAGAAGGAATCTGGATAGATAAATATGAAGTAGAAAATTAAATACAATTTCAGTTGCATACCTTTTGGATGAGTGACTTCAGTCTTTCTAGGAATTCTTTGGGTGGTGTTTTCTCATAAGAATCACATGAGGGGCATGTCTAGAAATCAACAAAAAAGTTCAACATTTTTCCAATTTAATAAAATGTTCAGTTAAAATAGATTTTTTTCAATTAGAGATATAAATTATATTCACCGAAAAAAATTGAGACGTGCATAAAATTGTTCAGGAAATAACAATGGGAAAATATCACTTGTAATTCCTATCCTCAGAAATAACCACTGCAATCTTTTGATGCATATTCTCCCAGCAATGTTTTTTTTTCTTTGCATTTATGTTATTTACACTGGTTGGTAATTTGTTTATTTATATTCAACATATATAGGCATTTCCTACCTGTTAAGTAATTGTTGCTCTATATTCCAATGTAGCATCAAACTATTACTATCTTTGGACACACAAATTGTTCTGACTTTTCACTATTGCATACAATGCTGCAAGAACATTTCTGAATAATTTTTATATATACCTTTATTTGAAATTTCTAGAAGTACAGTTACTAAATTAAAGGAATAAAAATTTTTATCTTGCTGCATATTGTAAAAAAGTTTCACCTGTATTTATGCAAAGCATTCTTACTATTGCTGAGTATTGTTAAACTTTTTAACTGGAAGAAAGTAGGATTTCCTTAACTTGCATTTATTTGATTTTAGAGAGATTGAACAATTTTTCATATGCGTCTCCCCAGCTTCTATTTCTTTTTTAAAAAAAAATTCTAGGTATTTCTTCTTTATCCTTATTCTTTTTGAGAGCTCAAACACGAGGCCATTGCTTGGTATTCAATGTCTCTAAGCCCATTTGATGTTGTGGTGAGAGCCTTTTACTGAAAGGTAGGAGATGTAAGTTCTAGTTCTGATTCTGCAACTTAGTATTGGCAGGGCTTGGACAAATCACATAATGAGGTCTCATTTTCCCATCTACCATATAAAGGTGCTTAACTAGACAGCTTTACGTTCAATGCCAGCACTGCCATTTCATAAGTCTTTGCTACTGGGTTTCAAAGACAGACTCTGCTCCTTTCTGTCTAAAGAAATTTTAGAGGGATACTTCTCACATTGCAACCTGGCTAAGAAATCAAAGGAAATAAAAGTCATTTTGATAGTGTCATTAAGATTTCATTTGAATCATATGTGCAATTCTTTGGAGGAGAGAGAAATGATTAAAAAATACTTTGGGGTAATTTATCTTATCTCTTATTCCACTGGTTTTGATTAATTCTTGAATTAGTCTTGAGAGTATCAGCATTGCTTATGAGTTGGCATAGGAAGAAATATACAAGATGGTCTTGGGGCCTCCTAAAACTAGGGACTATTAAAATTCTCCTGCCAAATAATGAGGTCTATCTATTTAAATATAGTACTGACTCCGTCATTGTATAGGACAATAATATTCTTTAAGAGAAGGTAAAATTTGAGATTTTTCTTAGTCTCTTGTAGGCTATCTCTTTTCTTCTAGGAAAACTAGGCTCTAGATGTGACCATATGATGAAAGAAAAATACTTAACTCCTAAGTCATAATTGGATTCTCTGCCGAGTGACTTCCTCACCTTGGGAGGCTATTTCAACTTATTCCAGCTACTAGAGACTGTTAGCAAATTCTTATAGGATTTCTGGGCACTTTCAAGTCTGTGGATTTGGAAGAAGTGACTTCAGTTCTCAAAACACCCCATAAAAAAATACAACATATAACTGGAAGGAAGGCACTGGAATCTCTGGCTACAAATGTGTGTGTGTCTGTGTGTCTGTGTGATGTAATGTAGGAGATGTAGTACAAATTTAAGTACAAATAAGAGAGATGACAAATGACAATCTTACTGGTCTGTGTTTCTGTCTTCTGCCTGCGTTTGTGGGAGGTAGTTTCCTCTTCAGCTGTTTAGTTAATACATTGATTATCTGTTCATTGCCTCCTGCATTTGCTGCCTTTAGTTGGACCTTCTGAAAACATGAAAAAGCTGACCGTTCACAATGTTTCTGAAAAAGAAATAATTTATATGTATGTTAACAAAAGTTATGCAGAAAGTAAAAATGACCTTCCCAGTCCTCTTTTTCTACTTCTACTACAGCTTATTAGATTACGTTTGTATCAGCAGGTTTTGAGGAAGGAGTTCACACCCTACTTAATCTTTTGGCTGATTAGAAGGAGACACCTGCAATGTAAAATTTTATCCTGTATTAGAGAAGAGAGGACATTTCCCTACCTCACAGGCAAGAGGAGGGAGCCTAACTTTTCCATTTCTAATACCATTTTGAGGTCTGGGTGATGTGCATGATCTTTATGTTTTATAAAGGAGTTAGTTTGCTTTTAGAACAAAGTTTCTAAAAGTTACACTATGATTGGTTGCAGCTTTGGGTGAGATATACGATAGTCTAATTAGAAATCTTTTTTTATTTGTTTTTTTGTTTGTTTGTTTCTCTCTGAGATGTTCATGGAAGCATCTAACAGTGACATGTCTTGAGCAGCATCTTACCTTGCACGACATCTGGCATCCTGTCTTGTTGCTAGTGAATGCTCAATAAATATGTGTGGAGCAGACAAATGAAGTAAATGAGTTAATGCCCCTGCTTTGGGTAAAGGAAGTGGCTACCTACCTCTGATGGCATATTCCACATCTAAGATTCTGTACACCTGTGATGGACTACACATGACTCTTCTAAAATCCTATTCACACTCTTAGGTCAGTTAGGGTAGGATTCTGCATGAACCAAGTTGTCAAGGAACAGAATTTGAGACTTGCCCAACCAATGGGAGGGAGGACCATTCCTTAGAAGCTTAGGGTAGTGTCTCATAGAATAGAGAAGTGGACAGAACAAGGATCAAAACCTTGTCTCTTGGTTTAGTCAAATAACTAGAGAGTAGTAAGTCAAAAACCTTAGAAATCAAACTGAAAATAAAATGGAATATACTGAAAAAAATATATAAATAGATTTATTAAAAACACTTTAATGCTGTTCTAAAAACTTGTATCCAAGTTTCTTTTTTCTTTCAGAAATGTGTGTTTATCATGCTATTCTATCTGCACCCCAACACACCCCAGTTGCTGTATCCTCATCTCGCTAACGTGTATGGAAGACACTGCCATATAAAACCAGAAACCTCAATCTCTCTCAGTTCCTACAAGGGCTGTCCCATATATAACAAAATTACCTGAGTCTTCTCATGGACAACAGCTGAAAATAGCATATGGCCTGCTTTGCATTTTCCAACCCATATTCTTACCCAATATGAATGTTGATTAATAACATGCATCATTAAGACACAGGCCCGTCAGGTTTGCTTTGCATACATAGCCACAAGCTGAGAACCAGCTTATCTGGTTTCCTTATATCAGAGCAGTTTGCCTCTCTCATAAGGGCAAGGTAATATCCTTTCCATATGTTTGCCAAAATGCTTATTTAATAGAAACTATTTATAAATGTTAATTATAGCACTTTTTTTTCCTTGAAAACCACATGCTCATGTTTGTTGAAGTTTTTTCTTTTCTCTTCTTTTTGACCACAACCGGCTTAACTTACTGGAAAAAAATAATATTCATATTTAAAGAGGTAAATTTTCCAGCTGAAACTGAAAACACTAACTGCTTCATCCGTGATGATCTGAGAAACCAGCATTTCTCACAGAAGCCCATTTTGCTGAGTTAACATTTACATGGGTATGTTGAAAGAAAGTTATGTTCCAAAGAAGTATAGGGGCCCTACCAAATGAACTCCCTTGATATTGCCGGAATGGTCAAGATCAGTGTTGAAAGATTTTATACCTGAGAAAGCTTTTCTGAAAGCCTCTGAATGGCATCTGGACACTGACAGGCTGCACTGTCTCTCCTGCCCTTCCTTGTTTACATGTGACAATAGAAGGTGGTATATTGCTCTGTGCTTTCTGCAAACAGCAGAGCTGTCCTTGGCCATGTGTGGTCCAGGACGACTAACTGCTGGGTTGGGCTTCAGACACACACCAAAGGCAGCCTGGGAGAGGAAAAGAAGTGGAGGAGCTGTTCTGACAACTGCCATACAGATGCACTGGGAAGGGCATGGAGATATTAACCTAGCTTTGGACAGCGATGGATGACCTGTCACTCATGGGCTTTACAGGATAAGCCCAAATTCCTGTGTACAACCACCATCTGGGAGCATAACATTTTCTTTTGCTATGCCTTGGTCACAGCAAACTATGAGGGCAAGGCTTTGATTCTGTCATCATTCAACACATGATAATATGAGGAGTTGCACATCCTACATTATTGCAAAATAGAGGGAGCAGTACAGAAATCAAAAGTAAGAGTAACAAAGAACAGTCAAGTGCTGCTTTTGCAAGGAAACCGTTTGGCTTTGTCGTTTTGCTGTTGAATATTTGAAAATATTTGCCTCCTTATAGCTTATTTTTAACCTACTTTTTCCTCCTCACAAAAAGGCCTGGCCACTCACACTAGGAAGTCTTGGGCAAGATACCTTTGTCCCACACACCAACTAGATTTATATCAAGGTTTCTCAATAGAATACAATTAACGTTTTGGGCTAGATCATTCTTTGTTGTTACGACTGTCCTGTGCATTCTAGAATGTTTAGTAGCATCTCTGACAAGTAGAAAGCACTCCCCTACATACAATTGTGACAACCAAAAATTTCTCCAGACAGTGTCAGATATTCTTAGGGGGCAAAGTCATTACCAGCTGAGGATCACTGGTTATACAATTATAAGAAAGAGAACCACGCCTGGCAAGGCCAATTAGGGATCTGAGATAATCATGGTGAATCAACATTTACATGCAACATGTAAATAAATTTATTTTCCTTAAACTTTTTAATTTTATTTTAAATCTCTTATGATCCCTGCTTTGGTGTTAGCCCTGAAAAACTTGACATAATGTTTGTGTGGCCTTTAATTATTTTCTTCCTTCCTAAGTTTGCCTGACAGCCTAGCTTAAAGATCTTAGTTATACTATTACTCACTTGTATCATAGATAGCATTGTTTGATAAGATTGTCAGATAGGTAACAGTGTCACTGAGACGAAATCTTCTCATTATGATGTAAGATAAAAAGCCTCTATCTTTAGTAAAGCGTAGATATTTAACAAAGGAAGTACCCAATGGATCAACTCAAGTTAGAAAATGGGAAATCTTTCTTATTTCTTATTTTGCAAGTTATAGATAGGGTTAGTCTAAAAGTACTCTAACCACAGCAGTTAAACAAAATGCATGAGATGCTGAAAATGTATGTTTTGATAATTAGGTCATCAATTAAGAAATATTCTCACTTATTGGAAAAAGCTTTCCAATAAGCTGAATGTGCTGCTTTCATTTTAGATGCTGCTTATTAGAAAAGGACCTAGTAAATGAGAGTGGTTAAGTTCAGAGTTGAAGAGTGAATTTTAGAGAAAAGCAATGGTTGTGACTCATTCACTTTCTAAACTTTTACACATAGTCATTTACGATAATTGTTTTCTTTGCAATGTACCTTCATATGTCTCTCCCTGTGTAGTGTCCTAATTACTGGTAGCACTTTTATAGTTATTCTAATTTATGCAGTTAAAGGTCTGAGACAATGAAAACATTTCCCCAATTGCATTTCTATCCTCAGGGTACCAGACGTGAAGACTAGAGAGAAGTTACTAAGGAAAAGATCAGCACGCAGCCCTCTTGAACTATATGTTAGGGGTTTTCTTCCTTGGACCTAATGGATTTAAGTGGCTTAAAAGAATGGGATGAGTTTTTGAAAAAAAAATCCTTTTGAAAGACCTCTCCAAAGGCCAAAGACAAGACTCACTGAGGCCAAGGTATATGGAATTATATTCTAAAGGACAGCCTTGATTTCCATACTACCATTCTTCCATGCTGTTCCTGTAATCTGATCTTTCTTCTTTCTCTCTTCCTTTCTTTTCTTTCTTTCTAGTTATTAAAAGGTGAGTTCTGCTTCTTCCGGTGTGTGTCTATATTTCTTAGGTAGGTTTGCAAAGGAAGGCCCAAGAACTTTTATTCTACAAGGGCTCTTCAAACTTAGTTGGTCATTATTCAGAAACTGATCATGAAATAGATTTATTTTCTAGTTTTGTTATTCTGTATCAAACAGTGCTACTTGGAAGGACTCTTAGAGGTATTTGGAGATAAAAATATATTTATAAGGTATATAGTGTTTTTATAATTGGCTTGCTGGTAAATCAGTGAATATTTGACCAAAATAGGAATAACTATTTTACCAACTCTTAAACCCCCAAATTCATTTAAATTAAGTATATTCCTAGATAATTATGTTAATGGCTTCCTTAATTGGATTTAAAAACTTGTATCACAAATATTATCACAAATAAATTCAATTGGTCTTACCTTTACATCTTCTGGAGCTGGCAGAGGTTCAGGTTCCTACAGCAAAAGAAAATTAGTTCTGGGTTATTTTTATAAGTCAAAAAGCTCCTTTTATATTAATTGAAGAATAATAGTTAAATTTCATTGTGACAAGTATGGCCTTACCAAATCATTCACATAATTTTGCAGCTGATCAACAATATCTATAAGTTGACGCATTCTAATCAAGAGGAGATCCTGCTGTTGGAAGCTTGACTTATGGGCTATTGTCCCCAGGAAGATGACCATCAGGCAGATGACTATCTTCTCCATGTTGCCAGCACTGGATCTCATAAGTGCCAGTAAAGCAAGAGCTTGGTCTCAGTTTTCACTGCAGTTTGACTGTGAACAGGTTGTCAGTAAAGCTACCTATTTATTCATCCTTCAGGGAGAGGTAGAGCCCTCCCATTGCAGCCTGGAAATCTTTGTAAAATGGATGAATGTGAGTAACTCTTTTTTCTTTTCCACTGGCTAGGTATACGTGTGCATGTGCTAATGCGTGGGGGGCAGGGATTGATGGAGTCAACGAAATGTGCCCCATCTGCATCTTAGACAGGAAAAAGAGAAATGGGTGAATTCCAATTTTCAGCATGAATCAAGAAGTGTGCATGGTAAACAGTAGGTACTACAAAACTTCAAAGAAGTAAACAAAAACACTTTGATCTCTCTTTCTCTGCCTCCCTAGCGTCTTACCTGTTCCCTCTAACAGTCATAAGGGCACTTCAATAATGAGTAAAGTGGCTACATGTGTTTTCTTGCAGGACTTTTTCTTATGGTAATAACTATGCCTTTTGACTGAAATCATCCAGTATTCCATTGTAAAGGTAGGAGGGGAGCTACATTTTAGGAAATTTTAAATATCAGGAGTATTTTCCAAACTAGCAAGAATATTTTAGGCTTTTAATGAGGTTAAAGGGTTTAAAGTGCAATTTGCTTACAGTTCTCCCTGACAGCATCTTTAAATAACATTAATCTTGGCTTTAACATTTTACATAATCGTTTTATATATATATCATAAATGATTCTAAGAGACCCTAAAGAAGTTCATCCCATCTCCCAATCAGGATCTCACTCTACCTTCATTTAAAAAAGCAAAAAAACCACCAAACCTCTCTAATGTTCATCTCTTCTATATAATGCATCAATTAAATGAATGAAAGGCACTAATATTCATTCCTGTCCAAACCAAAAACTTTTTCAACAGCAAAATAAAATATACTTATAAATTATTATTTGTGAGGGATAGTGTCACTTATTTCTATTAGATATTATTTCATCTGGGGATGAGCAACACATTTCTAACTATGACCAGGTAGAGGTTATAAAAGCCCAGAAGTGGTTTTATCATCCTCCTCTCTACTGCTGCTTCTATCCCTACTGCTCTACCCATTTGAGAAGGTTAAATATAATATTCTAACCAGAAGTAGTTTTGTACCACAGTCAGTTAGGTCTTACAAATAAAAGTCTTGACTATAGATTTTACTTATTCATTTATTTCTTCATCTGTTTCATTGCATGCTTGCAACCATATTTTTTTCTAGACTGTTATGTAGCCAAGATAAATTAGAGTTTGTACTTGATTCTCTTGACTATAGCTTTATATATATATATAGAATAGATATTCTATAATATAATATATTCTATAATATAATATATTATAATATATATATTATAATAAGATATTATAGAATATCTATTCAAGACTATTCAGGTTTGGTGCTTCCAAAGTAGATAAGAATTCTTACTGTATGATATAGAAGCCTTCCCAATAATCATGAAATTCTGTAGGAGATGGTTCTTTGTAAACCTATGAAATGCATGTGGACTACGTGTTGTCGCTTAATACCTCTTCCTTGCCTGCACAGTCTTTGTACCTGCTTTCCTGATCTGCCTAAAGAGATGTGAGTCTCCTTGTAGACCCTAACCACAGTGGTTAAGAGGGCAATTTCTAAAGTAAAAAGTTCAAATTCAGGCCGTAGCAATTAGTAGCACATATGACCCCCGATATGTTATCACAAAAGGAAAGGAAGTTTAGAGCTAATCACTGGGTTGTAGTGAGGCTTAAATAGACATTCCAAGTAAAGGGGGTGAATACAGCACATGATAAAATCCCAGAAAGTTTTTGCACTGATTGTGGATAAGGAAGAGGATGGCAGGTCAGCGGTTAGCCAAAATGCACTCATGTGGCTGTGCTGATTGTAACAAAGTGGAAAGTCTTTCATATTGCTTAGAGAGAACCATTCCTTACATCCCCAGAGTGCTTCACCAACACCCTACAAACCCAAGTCCCTCCCTGAGACCTCCCAGCCCTCTCTACTATCCATCAACCAGCATGCCAGGATCTGCAGCGTCCTACGGCAGCATTATGACCTAAGACCTTTCTGAGAATCAGACAGCCTGCTTTAAATGGCATATCAGTTGTGAAGCACTTTGAACATTATCGCTGGTGTGGTAGGCTAATCCCTGAAACCTGTGCATATACTACCTTTTTATGTTCCTAAACAGCAAAAGGGACTTTGCAGATGTGATTAAATTAAGGGTCTTGAGATGTGAGAGTATCCCACACTATCCAGGTATGCCCAGTATAATCACAGGGGCACTTATAAGAGGAAGGCAAGCATGTCGGAAGGCAGGGAAGATGTGATAAAAGAAGCAGAGGTCAGAGTGATACAGGGCCAGAAGCCAGTATATACAGTCAGCCCCTAGAAGTCAGGAAAGGCAAGGAACAAGTTCTCCCCTGGAGCCTACCAGAGTGCAGCCTGCCAACACCCTGATTTTAGCCCTATAAAGCTCATTTTAGACCTCTGACCTCTAGAACTGTGAGCCACTGGTTCTGGGGCAATTTGTTACAGCAGCAATAGAAAAGTACTACACCGGGGCGCCTGGGTGGCTTAGTCGGTTGAGCGTCCGACTTTCACCTAGGTCATGATCTCGCAGTTCGTGTGTTCGAGGCCCGCGTCGGGCTCTGTGCTGACTGCCAGCTCGGAGCCTGGAGCCTGTTTCAGTCTGTGACTCCCTCTCTCTCTGACCCTCCCCTGCTCACGCTGTCTCTCTCTCTCTCTCTCTCCTAGAAATAAAAAAAAAAGAAAAGTACTACACCTATGTATAGAGAGAGTTCTTACTCTTGGGAAGAAGGTGGGAAAGAGAGGAAGGGGTAATGAGAGAACCCATAAAGGCTGGAGTTTTGTCTGCTGGGCTTTTGATGGATGCATATAGAGGGGACAAAGAATGCTGGAGAAGAGGGAAGGAAGATTAGTGTTGGCTGCCACATGGTATGGGATGATAAGTATAAAAATGTATAATGAAGACTTTCAGGAAGTCTGATGTGTATTGTTACAAGTTCTTTCTAGCACCAAGGAGGATTTGCTTAGGATTGGCAGTACGTTGCCAAGTTATGGAGTACAAGTTGCATTTCACTTGAACTTATCACTATGTTGAGATGGAATTTAGGGTGGGAGTAAGGAGACTCAGATTTAGTTGAGTTACATATTCACTGATGGAATTATGGCATCATTCCATTGGGGTCTTAATGGCCTTTTATTCTTTAACTTGTAATCATTTTTATAACCTGGATTTAGTTCTGCTGTAACACTTGTGTCAAAAATGAGAATTTATTTCACTGATTAGATATACCAGGGAACAATTTGAGTATAACAAGAATTTTGTGTTTGCCTATGTGTGATTTCATCTTTAAGAAACACTAAATGAATGCAGGAAACTGCCTCCAGCTGACCTAAACTGTATAGGAATGCACAAAATGCACACACATGCTGCACACATCCCCCAGCTGCCTCAGTTGACCAGATACATCATAAGCCATACTCATCCACATCTGGTGTTACAATTTTCTGTGCTCGAAAACCTTCTGTTGCCATTTCTCAATAGCTCCAACACTCACCTCCATGGGCAAACTACAGGTCTTTTTCTAGGTAAGGTGCCATACTTATTGTAGTATTCATATATTTCTTAACTATTTAACATGTGTAAAACTGCTCTCTTTTTCATTAGTTTTCTATCAGCATTTTAAAGTGTCACTGACAACATTTTTTTGAGTATTGTGCCCCTAATTTCATTTTCCCCATAAGCTCTGTGGTTGTTATTGTGCAATGTTGTATAGTGCAATGATTTTTAGGAAAGTATGTGTCACCTTATACCAGAACTGACTGTATTTCGTCTGGAAGAGGTCACATTTAAGCCTCAAGAGCAACTAGTTATATCCTACAGCAAGACTAGGATATAGGATTTTTTCTTGAGGGGGAAGAAAAAAGGGAGATGACAGAGGAAAGGAGAGAGAATGAAAAGCCAACTATTTCTTGTTTTTACACTTGGCCCAATTGAGCTCGTTTATTTAAAAACCCTGGTGCCGTTCCTCCCGTGATCCTTCCCCATTAGCACAAGAGAGTCTATCTTGGCATCTATGGACTCCCCTGGCCCCACAAGGACCAATGTCAATGTATTTGAGAGGACCAAGAGCCTCCTGAAATTACTTGTAAAATTTGGTGTCTATGTTTGTGGGAAGAGGAAAACCTTAAATTTCATCCACTTCTCAAAGGAAATACCAGGCAGCTGCTATTTTTATTTTCTAAGCTCCAGGGACTTCTGTGAAGTACAGAGTGATCCATGCTTCTTCTGCATATATACACCACTGTGTGAGTGTAGGGTGGCTCCAGACTTTCTATACGGGAAACGCTGAGGGGCAGCAGTCTGGCTGGATGCCATAGTTGTATAGCAAGCACACAGCTTTTAGTTACCTTCTATATTAACATGGCACCTTGCAATGAGGTGGTGGGCTCTCCCACATGCATTCTTTCCAGGAAAATAATCCAGGCCATCACCATGAAAGTATGAAGCTCTAGTCATCCACTACAGGGATTTATGGACATATTTTAAAAATTTTGCCTAATGGACTCTGCTTAGAGACTCCCTGCTCTGGATAGGAACCAAGCCTGGGAACTGAATGAAGGCTTCCAGCCAGGAAAAATAGGCTGAGGGTAAGAGGAATAAAAGGAAGGAGGGGTTGAAGTCTGGAAATGAATGCTGCTAGTTCATGGTTTTGTAAGGGCAAAGCTGTGCTGGATATTATTTGGCCCAGCTCCTGTGTCCTGTCTTGCAGCCTTTCCTTAGGATCATCATGTGTCAAATACTCCCTTTCTATTTTCACTTGCTTCGTCCTCTCATGGGTAGAATTAGATGTTTTCTACGTCAGGCTCTGGGAAGAGAGGCCTCTATTGTTTCGAGTAATATTAAGGTATTCTAATATGTAGCACTGCTTCAAACTAAAGGTATTTAGACAA